CCTCGACGAGGCGCACCGCTCCGACCGTATGGTTACGGTGGACATGCCTATCCCCGCATGGGGCGAAAACCAAACCTGCGTGTGACAAGGCATCAAGACCCCTCGGGTCAAGAAGGGCATTAGGGGAAAGAAGGAGGCAGGCGCCATTACCCTGCAATTAGGTCGAGGCCCAGCCTCGATCAACTCCTCCCTAAGGCCCAATTCACGACCCTCGACCAGATGTCAATGCATCCCACGAGGGTCACAATCCTAGCGGCATTGGGTCAAGACGACGCCCCCTGGTTTGGGAAGGCGTCTCAAAAACCCCGGTGTCGTCTAGAAGCACAATCCAAATCACATGAAAACAGGAAATAATCTTGGGCCAAGACTCGGGAAATATAACTCAAATACAAATGAATCCAGCCGAGCACCGCGGTATTCCACAAAACGGGTATGGCCAGCGCCATACAAAGAACCTCATGTCCCAACATGGTAGAAGCGACCCGAGCTCCGAAAGCTATGATGCTAGAAGGAGGCTTGTGGGACGCTCCCCTCCGCCACTGCGGGCAAACGCAACGGAGAGGAGCACCTCGCAAACCTCCACCTAACACCATAGCTCCCAGAGCATAGGACGCAGGGAGAGAATGGTAGTAGCGCTGTCATCTCACAAGGATAGGGATGACATGGTGGAACTGTCCACAGCAAGGGCCACCTCACACATCTAAGCCAAAGGGCCTCGGAGGGCGAGGAAGACGCAAAGCTACAGTTCTAATAGCCATGCCACCCCATCCTACCCTGCTTGCAAAACTCCTCCTAGCACCAGTTGTTGGAAGGAGCAGCGCCGACTTCCAGCCATCGCAAACAACCCCCGACAGGACACGTAAGGGAAATAGCATAGTTCTCCTCGCACTTCTCTCTTTTCTCCTCACTCGATAAAAAGCAATCCATCCTCCATAGACATAGTTAAGATAATTCAAACGGTAGAAGCCCCTATTTATAGGCCTAAAGGCAGACTGAGCAGCCTCAGACCCCCGTGCCACATGGCGAGCCATGGGACATCACAACCAATGTCAGATGCCCGCGTGAGGTCGGGAAAATCGAGATCCTCCCAAAGGTAAGGATGGTACAACATCAACGAGACCACTCAGCCCCACCTAGGTCACGAACCCCGACGCACGGCACACTAACATGGTAGGGCTCAATAGTCGCGTACCGCGTCATCAGGGCATCCTGACGAGGTAGAATATAACAGCCACCTATTGCATTGAACATACCAACCCGCAAGGGGTCGAGCGACAAAGCTCAAACAAGCCATGACTATGAACCCACGCTCAACACGCACGCATCTCAGGGCTTTCACGATGACTTCATGATCGCAAAAACGCTCGGGGGCTACTGTTGAGGTTATGATCCCCGGGTATCTCAATGCATCGATTAGTTAGCAGGCCGAGCAACGCACGATACATCAGCTAGCGAAGGCCCAAACGACCGAGGCCTAATTGAACCAAGTAAACCAAGCCGGACGCCAAGGCCAGGGTCAGCCACAACCCCTCCCTTCTGCCTTAGCCGCACGACGCACAAGAGACTCATGACCTCTCCACCATCCCGACCCCTGGGAGGAACGAGGAGAGGTCGAGCCCAGCCAAGCGCACCGGCTCTGACAAGAGTAGACACGTAGCACTGACCCCTATCCCCTCGGTCCGCCCAGACACCATCCCTGAGCCACGCAGCATAGACAAGACAACACCGCATGGCGGTGACTGCCGGTACGACGACCCACCGTCCAAATACCGTCCAACAAGACACATGTACAATTCTACCCACTACGGGATGGGATCTATGACGGAGGCCTTGACTTAGAGGCCATCCAAACCGCGGGAGCCACGACCCCAGAGCTCGAGATCATGGCCACCAACTAGACAGGCTAACCAGATGACCAACGACCTGGGGGCGGCCAACAACTCCTGTATGACGCCCCCATGAGATCAGGAGGCAATGACGAAGGCCACAGCGGAGACCACATCGCGTAGGACGGCTGGCGAATCTCCACCGTGCCTACAGTGCCACCACGGCCGGCACAGTAGCACCACGCCACACCTTACCGCGATGTGGGCACAAGACCATGACGACAACCACGCCCAGACGTGCACCACAAAATGGCGTAGCTTGCAAGCAAAGTTAGCTAGGCCCCTCCCTCAAGCTCACGACCCCTCGGTCGGGAGAACCTCCTTCTTTATACATGCCCTGGCCCCAAACTCTATATAAGGGCAGCCAGGAGTCCTTCCCACCAGCCGGAGATTCAATTATCTCATTCTTCACCACCTTCGGAGCCCTGAAGCTTCTCTTCAGGCAGTTCATCTCCTACCTCTAGCTCTCCTACCTCCTCCATCATTCTTGCACCCCCATTATAAGAACTTCAGAGCATTCAAGCGAGGAACACACACTCGATCATCTCTAAGACTGGACGTAGGGCTCCGGCCTAAACCAGTATAAATCCTTGTATCTTTTGGATGCTACCATCGTCTTCCTAGAGCAGCGTGGCAATTGTATAAATTTACTAGTCTGGTTTAAAAAACACCGACATTACCAAACCATTAAACATCTTTTCTTTTATTGTCATCTCGCCAAGACAATCTGGAGGTTTGTGTATATAGCCATTGGGTTAACCCCTTCTAACTTTGTATCCCATATGTTAGGGAGTTGGCTATCAAATTTTGATTTAAAAGAGAAGAAATATATTCTGGTTGGGGTAGCCACTTTATGTTGGGCAATTTGGAGATGTCGTAATGATCTAATCTTATTGCAAATATAATCTTTTATGCAGGTTACTTTTAGAGGAACATATTGGTTGCAGCGTGATGATGAAACAAAGGAGTCTTTCGAACATCAAGCAGAAAATTAGAGACCACTGCGTTGGAACTGTTTGCTTCCAATGGATGAAGATTTTGATAATAGACTCTGTCATGCATAATTTTTGTATTTCTTGTTTCTCCGACCTATTTTCAGCAATGTAGCTGAAATTATGTAATAATGTAAATGTTGTGTGCGTAGACGCAGAAGCGAGAAGTCTCTACCATTCTTAGAAAAACATATATGGTTGTGAGGTGACAATCAGTTGGGTCCCATGCATACTCTAGAATATTTTTCCTCTATTGTAACAATTCCCCGTATTATGATTTGTTGACCTATGTCATTAGGAAGTAGTTTTTTATTTGCTTGCTTGACTGAAAATGTGTCCACGTGTACTTCCCGAAATCTCCCTATCATCGTCTGCTGTCACCTTTAAAAATTTCAACCAGAGCAATATCGTTGATCATTCATACGGGTGAGTGTACATACATTATGAGCGTTCGTATTATACTTTGTAATTTTAAAAAATGATACCAGCATCACCTGTAACTTATTATTAATGATGGGACAATTTGTTCGAGACAAAGAGCACACGACCATGTGTGTGGCCACGCACACTATTACAATAAACTTAACCAAGGTGGACAAAATTGATTAACCGAGGTGGGCAAACCATCCGCCTCCGTCCAAAGATCACGGTTAATCTGGCCTTAACGGAGGCGGTTAGTCCATTCACCTCGGTTAACCAATTAACGGAGGTGGGCGCCTTAGAACGTCAGTCTCGGTTAATAGATAAAAAAAATAAAACCACGAGCCCGCCGGTGAGCCCATTCCTAGCCTACGAGACGGATCCATCGGGAGGAGACACCGTCGCGTTGCTCGCCGTGGAGCCCACCTCACTGGATCTCGCGGCCAATGAGGGAGACCGACGCACTGCCGTCGGATCCAACCATCGGAGGGTCGTGCCCGCCGCGCTGCCACCGGATCCTGCTGCCGGAGGACCACGCCGCCGTCGGATCTGGCCGCCAGTGAGGGTGCCCGCCACGCCATCGCTGGATCCTGCAGGCGAAGGTCCGTGCCCGCCGCGTCGTTGCCGGATCCAGCTTCCTGGAGGTCCGTTCCTGCCACGCTGCCGCCAGATCCGTGAGCCCCTGCAGCCTGGCACACGCCGTGCGCCCCCGTGCCACGTGCCGTCGAGCGAGGAAGGGAGAGGAGACCAAGTGAGGGAGGGAGAGAGGAGACCGAGTGAGGGATGGAAAGGAGACCGGGTGAGGGAGGGGAGAGGAGACCAAGCGTTGTATCGCTCGTGGTTGCGCGGTGAATGAGGAAGGGAGAGGAGACCGAGTGTTTTAGGGTTTGTGTTTGCTTTTATATACCGGAGGTGGTAGGGCTAGTGTGGGTTGGGCCTGATTTACGGAGGCGGGCCTTTACGGAGGCGGTTGCTTTGAGGCGATCGTGTCGGTTAATGCATTAACCGAGGCATGCGCGTTAGGTTGCCCGCCTCGGTTAAGGATTAACCGAGGTAATTGCTGGGCCGGCTACCCGGCCATCCAATAATGAGGCGGGCAACCGGCCCACCCGCCCGCCCGCCTCCGAGGCTAAAAGGCAAACACCTCGGTTAAGTTTTTATATAGTAGTGGCATGGAGCGGCCACCGCTCACGTTTGAGTCACACGGTGCACGCAGGAGCCATCAACTTATTAAGTTGTTTATTTGATGAGTAATACGTTCAAGAGAGTGCAAGGTCACCCATAGAGCGTTCGCTTCGGCTCTAGAATGTGGTTGTTGTAGCAACACGTTGCATGCTTTCCACCTTAATACAACGACATGTAAATCTTCTGTGCATCGGAGGAAAAAACTATCGCATACAACGTATCCACATGGTCAGAGTGGGAATTTGGCAGCCGAACCAGTGAAGATTAATACAACGACATGTAAATCTTCTGTGCATCGGAGGAAAAAACTATCGCATACAACGTATCCACATGGTCAGAGTGGGGAATTTGGCAGCCGAACCAATAATCTTCACTCTCCAGCAGCACCTAGAGTCTAGAACTACCCTTGCCATTTTCTGACGGACAGATGCGGCTCATGACATCACAGATGGTTCGTAAACTTTTTACCACTGTCATGCATGCAACCAGGCCAAAACGCTACTGTACCTATTACCTACTATGACGTTGCAATTGCAACGCAGAGAGATGGAGCAAGGCAAAAAGGCACGGTGCGTGCAGGGCAGTTCACGTACCTGAAGGTTATCTTCTTCCTGTCGCGGACGAGGAGCTGGGTCCTGGGGTCGATGTAGGCGACGAAGAAGGTGAGCACGATGTCGACGGCGAAGAAGAGGTCCACGACGAGGTCCACCACCTCCAGCCCGCCCTTGGGGGACGCGTTCATGAAGGCCACCTCGAACGGGTACACCCACGCCGAGTACGCCACCATGACCACCATCAACGTATCCCACCACCTGATGCACACGATCGAGCATCCATGACATGTATGGTACTATATAGAGAGTTGACAATGAGCTTTTTTTTTAATCAGAGATAACAATGAGCTTATTAAGCATGCATAGTATGACCAGGAGTGAAATGCACCACAGGTCTAAAGTTGTCTGCATTTGTCATCTAGGTTCAAAGTCTCAAAATTTATTTTTGGATCCCTAAAATTAGTTTGGATTTCATACAGGTCCAAATAGGCTTTACCCAACCCATTAGCTGACGTGGCATGTTGAGTCAGCGCTTACATGGACCTGATAGCTGGGGCCCACATGTCAGCGGCAAGTGTCAATTTTTAAAAAATCGTATCTTTTTCATACGACCTCGGATGAAGATGATTTTTATATGAAAATTGTATCCCTCAATGAGATCTTCAGCTTTATAGTTTTAAGATTTCTCATTTGAGATCATTAAGATGGTCAAACAATTAAAATAAAGTTTCAGCAGCATATTTATCGCATACCAAGCTTGTCGTCGTATAAAAATCATATCTTCTTTGCATGGTCTCGGATAAGGATACTTTTTACATCAAAATTATAGCCCTCGTTGAGATCTATAACTTTCTAATTTTAAGATTTTTCATTTGAGATCGTTAAGACGGGAAAAAAAAATTAATATAAAATTTCAGCAGCATCTTAATCGCCTACCAAGCTTGTTGTCTTTGAAAAATCATATCTTCTTTGTATGGTGTCGGATAAGGATACTTTGTATATGAAAATTGTAGCTCTCAATGATATCTACAAATTCATAGTTTTAATTTTTATCATTTGAGGTCGTTAAAATGGTAAAAAAAATAATATAAAATTTTAGTAGCATATTAATCTGGTACTAGGGATTGTCGTCTTAGAAAAATCATAACTATGAATTTGACCATTTTAACGACCACGAATGATAAAATCAAAATTATGAAGTTGTAGATCTTATTGAGCGCTATAATTTTCATATACAAAGTATATTTATCACTCACCATACACAAGAGATATGATTTTTCTAAGACAACATGCTCTAATACAAGATTAATATGCTGCTAAAATTTTATATTATTTTTTGACTATTTTAACGACCTTAAAAAAGGATAAAAATTAAAACTATAAATTTGTAGATCTCATCGAGAGTTACAATTTTCTTGTACAAAGTATCTTTATGCGACACCATGCAAAGAAGATATAGTTTTTGTAAGACCACAAGCTTGATATGCGATTAATATGGTGCTGAAACTTTATATTAATTTTTTGACCATCTTGACGATCTCAAATGAAAAATCTTAAAACTAGAAAGTTACAAATATCATCGAGGACTACAATTTTCATATAAAATACATCTTCATCCGAGGTAATATGGAAAAGATACAAATTTTCTTTTAAAATGAGCCTTGTCACTGACATGTGGGCCTTAGCTGTCAGGTCTACGTAAACGCTGACATCGTCTCTACATACAGTCATTGCATCACCTGTATCTGGAGTCGAGCGGCGAGATGACCCACTTGTCCGACCCGCCGTGGGACTGGCTTTGGCCGGGCGGCCCGCCGAGCGGCGGGAGGATGATCTTGGACAGGTACCGGAGGTTGAAGGAGCCAGAGCCGGATCTCTCGCCCGTGCCGGAGCCGCCGCCGCCGCCGGCGCTGCCCGTGCTCTGAAAGCTCGAGTTGTTCTTCATGACGTACGCAATGCTAGCTGCTTACTCCTATATATAGGATGCGCAGCTTGTGGTGCGCTGCAGCCTGCTGGACGCCTGGACGGGGGTTACGAAGAAAAGATAGATGGACCGGACGAGAAAGGCAAAAGGTCACCTTTTACAACGGGAGGCATCGAAATAATGAAGCAGCCAAAGCATCAACGCATCATATCAACAATGGAGGTGTGAGGAGGGTGACGATCTGGTGAGCATCTGGCTGACGGAAGGGGTGCTGTCCGGGACGACAGTGGCCACCGGGCGCAGCTGCACACATCTCTCGAGACACGCCCTGCAGGTGTGTGGATTTGTAGAGAGAACGGCCGGTGGTTGTGGCTGGGAATTCACCGCGACTTTTTGGCATCGTGTACGTCAGTACGTATGAAATGTTCATGTACGAGAGAAAAATACTGTAGCATAATTGATAAGTCAAACTGATAAATTCAAGTGAAAGTCTCTAGGCAAATGCAGCTCTGCTCCTCCCCGCGTCATGCATGTTTATCACGATTTCTGCGCTTCTGTCACAGCACATTTTTTTTTTTGAGAAGTTGGGGGAGCATCCCACCTTTTCATTTTATAAAAGGAGCATACATAAGTAGTTTGTTACATGTCGTTTATGGAGAAATTAGCATAGGGTGGGAGGAGAACAACAAAGCCCAAGTATGAGCAACATGTCACAATTAGCCAATCAAAACTGAATATTTTCGGTAAGCCGCCATCATCGTCAAGCACAACCCTCTATCGGCTTTATGCTAATTTATACTGTGAAAAAAAATTCTGCTCAATTTACAGAGTGATAGATTTCGCTGTCAGATATACAGTATAGTAGACTATTAACTGCAGTATCAGAATGGATGGACATGAGGTTTGACAGTTGGTATTGACATTGGACAATGAAATAGCAGAATGAGACACATGCCTTGCTAATGAGCCAACGTGGCCCGTTCCACTTACCCTATATTCAATTTGATCGATTTATTTTTTTAATTAAAATAGTGTTTTTTTTCACAATAATTTATGTTTTTTAATCAGACCGAACGGGAGAGCGAACACTCTAACAGCAGTCTACTTTTACTACTATTTTCGGATGCATTGTTTTCACCTTTTCTTTTAGCCGGTGCGGCGGTGCAGGTTTGTAGGGTCCGCTAATTGCTGAGTGCGCTTTGGACACACCGTTTTCTTTTCATTTGTATTTTCTGTCACTCAGCTTCAGCCATGATTTGCATGCGTGTAATTAGTTATTTTTTTTTACCTACATTTCATACGCAGCACCGAAAAACTTACGACATCAAGCTCAGGCGTGAGCAGCACGCTGCACGTCGACATCAAGCTCGGGCGTGAACGCGCACGACGTCGCTCAAGCCAGCCAACGCGACGTCGTTCGACCATGGAAGCTGTACAAGGGCCTCGGCGAGGAGCACGGGAGCGTAGGCCCAGTACAAAGGTTGATGGAACCTTCACCAGCTGGAGAACGGTGGCGTGAGAGAGCAGTACCTTCTTCTCCTACAACTAAAAAGAACGTAGATATTTTTTTGGTATGATATTTATTTTGTTTCGTCTATCAGTCCACGTCTATGATCCCACAACATTTTCCATATGCTACTTGATTGAATATTGCTTGCCATGTGATAGAGAAATCATGGCAAAATAGGAAGTAGAAAATTATTGTGCTATCCATATACACATTGCATGTGTGCATGCACCAGCATACATAGTAACGAGCAAAAGGAAAGAGAATTAACACAGAAGGAAAGAAAATTAAGACAAAAGGAACTTCTTTGTATTTCTGAGAACCTTACCAAATCTGCCTACATTTAATTACTTTCTCTCTTTGCATTTGCAAAAGGGACAACTTTTTTCTCCTTTCATTTGGTTTCACGCTCACGTGTTCGATCGCCCTCGCTTGCTGTTTCTTTCTGAAATTGCCCTTGGGTCTGTTCATTTTGAATTCTTTCCCCATGTCCCCAATCCATGGTCCATCGCGACAGTAGACACCAGACACCATTTCTTACGTGAACCATAGTTGATGTCATCTATCTTTCATGGCTCAGCCTCCTAATCCCAAGAGAAGGTCCATACCTCTCTCTAACTGGAGATCCGACCTGCTAGAGGATCTCATCGAGTCCATCGGGCAGCGTCTCGCGTCAGGTCACGACGCGGCGTCCTTTCGATCCGCTTGCTCCCCATGGCGCGTCGCCGTCCCGTTCGCGACCTTCGGGCCGCTCCTGCTGCTCCTGTTCGACCCCGACTCGGACCGCGTTGGCTTCTACTGCGTCCCGGAGAAGAAGGTCTTATCTAAGACGCTGCCCGACGTGCGCGCCAAGGTGGCGTGCGGCTCCTCGTATGGGTGGTTGGCGCTCATGGACGAGGTGGCGTCCGTGACGCTGCTGAATCCATTCGCCGGTGCCCGTGCCCCCCGCGTTGAGCTCCCACCAGCAGGCGAACACGTCGCGGCGGCATCCTCATTGGAACACGTGTCTAGGGTCCACGGCCGGTGGGTCCTCCATCCCACCAACGGCTACGAGAACGCGGATGCCCGCAGCAGAGCCATCAAGCTAGAAGACATGAGGGACGTGTTCTTCCGTGAGATCGTGCTCTCGGCGCCGCCTGACACCGCCGGCCGCGAGTGCGTGGCCATGGCCATACTTGGGTCATATTCTGCCGGGTTGGAGTCGACAGCGCATGGACGCCGCTCGACACCAAACTAGAGTTCTCCCTCGGAGGTCGCATTCTGCCGGGTTGGAGTCGACAGCGCATGGACGCTGCTCGACACCAAACTAGAGTTCTCCATGGGGTCCATCGTCCACTGCCAAGACAAGTTCTTGGAGATCGACTGCACTGGAGAAATCTCCGTCTGCAGCAGCAACGCCGCCGGCGCTACTCCAACCGCGACGCTGCTGCCATCGCTGTCGCCACTGTGGGGCTCGCCACCGTAGCTACTTGGAATCAAACGGTGAGCTGCACATTGTGGGTGCCATGGTGAGCACGTTCCACAAGACACGAGCTTCACCTACAAGCAGCGTGATCTACAAGTGCAACCTCCACGACCGACGCCGGAGTGGTCCAGGTGAGGACATCGGTGATCGATTCACTGTTCATGTCTAAACATTTCAATGAAAGCTTCAGTGGAACAAGTGTATCCAAGTACAAGGAGAACAAAATCTACATGTTTGAGCCATTGTATGGGGATCCATATGACTTGGTCCATCGATTGGAGATCGTTGATATTGCTACCGGCGCATCCGAAGTGAAGCCCGTCCAGGAAAAGATGCAGGGTTCCGAGGCTCTAGGTTGGATTCGACCCAATCTCTGGAAGGATCATTGCAAGACATCAATCATCTCATAGCTTCGGATAATATCGCAAAGCTACTAAAAACTGTAACCGTGCCCTCACCTCAAACATTGTCCAGAGAAATGGATATCGGAGATTTCTTCCTGCCAATATAAAACATTATCTTAGCCGCATCACGGAAAGGTCTATAAAGTAGAGTTTATGAGCCTGCGACGCCGCGCACTCCATGACTATGTTAAATTCATAAACTTTGCTTTTTGGATTAAATGTCACTTTAACGTTGATATTTAATTTTTATAGTATTGTTATCTTATCGTGCGATTCGTGTGTTTTTAGTATAAATTGTTAGTTATCTCGTAGCAACGCATGGCCACGCTACCTAGAGAGAAGAGAATGAGAGTTGATCAATTATGAACTACCAGATTGTAACAACTCTGTTCTAAGCACTTCTCTGTTCTTAACGATTCCCCAACTATCCTATGCTATATCTGCCTTCTTATTCAACTCCCTTTGCTTGTGCTTACATATGGTATCAAAGATGAGTCGTTTCTCTTCCGCAAATCTTTCTGTTCTTCCGATTCGTTGATTGCTCGCCCCTGTCTTGGGTTGTAGAAATCGGATCGATCCGCTTCGGTCCTTGATTTTCGTAAATCCTAGGTTCATGAGTGATCCGATTCAAAACCTGGCACTGGATCGCTTACCACCGCCGTCGCCGCACACACATCCCCACTTCACCCGATTTGCTCGTAGCTGCGTGGCACTATGAATCCTGATTCCACACATCCCCACTTCACCCCTCGCCTACCCCACATTCCCAAAGCACAGGTTTGTAGCAACGGCCCACACACAGGGGTAACAGGACCATGTGCGGGCGGGGTTTAGGAGTTTTTCTCGGACTGAGTGAGGAGTCCTCTACCTTAAGCACAATGCTTGGGGTGCATGCTATCCCTGCAGTCCGAGTTTTTTTATATGCAAGTTATATCCTGTGGCAGAACCACCAATTTAAACTAATCAAATACTCGCTCACCACTGAGCACTAAGTAAGCAAGGATTAATTTAAATCCGGTCGTCCGTCGAGTCCACCATCTAGGAGAACTTGAAACCATCCACGTTTGATACAGGATCCATAAATGAGTAGCGAAGTACATAAATAATATTACAAGCTTCAGTTCACATATAATACATGATCCAAATACATTACAATACCAAATTTTAGAATTGCAGCGGAATTTAATACATACGGATTATAATACTATAATACGAGAGGTTCCTTTTTACATTATTGAAATCTTAGACTGACACTGTGAATTTAACTACGGTAGAAATCAAAGCCAAAGTTCTCACTGTGCCCACTTTGGAGGACTCAACCAAGCAGAAGCGGAAGCAACACACGGGTACGCTGTTCCAAGGAAGGACCCACAAACGGACGAACACCCGGTTACACCTTAGGATTAGCATCTGCAACAAAAAGGGTGGAACAAACCCTAAGTACACGATATACTTCGCAAGACTTACCCGACTAGGTGGGAATAGTTTCCCGACTCTCAAGGATATGTAGGGGCTATTTGGTTTGCTGGTTCATTTGCTTTTGCAGGAAAGCATTACTAGGAGTACATCCTTATATTCCAAATTTTAGCAGTCACATTGAGTTAATCACCTATCCATTCTAGATAAGCACATGTACTACTTTCAA